AACAGTAGGCACCGTAAGTAAAGTGTGTGAATCACTGTGATTTATAGTGCGTGTTATAAAAGTTGTTAAGTGTATTACAAAGTTCAATCGAGAAAGAATAAACTAGTTTTAATCAAGAAGGGACTTGTATTGCAGAAGTTTCTTGGAAAGAATTTTTAACCGGAAATTATCAAACAAGCAGATATGTAACACATATATATATTCATGTGTCTATGTAAATTTCTTGTATTTGATTATGACAAAATCTTGTCGAAACATTGTACATTTGCTACCTGTAATCAAGTTTCTTTCATTACCATTTCAAGCCATCTTCAGACTCCCATTTTTTAAAAGTGGGTTCCTCGTCATCAGATACGATTTTAGAATACTGTTACATCTCCGTTCGTTAGTTAATTTTCCGTAAATTCGTTCCGACGAAACTTTAGCTACACAAGTCCTTTCTTAAATAAAACTGGTTTATTCTTTCTGAATATAATTTTGCGATACACTTAATTTCAACAATCGCGCTATAACAAACGCTTTAATTCAAACGAACGTCTCACGTGCTCAACAGTATTCTCTCTGACTGCAGTTCAATTACTCATTATCTCCCCGTCGCTTCGTGGCCGGTCTTATATATACCAGACTACTCCCAATCTAGTAATCTCCCGACTATTCACGAAGGAACAGGATATTTCTAGAAAGACGTGACGTGATACTAGTCACGTGACCTCGCTGACGCAACACTGCCCCCTCCTTAGTATTGTTCGTCCCGAACAATAGCCACTTACAATAAACCAATAACAATTAACAATAACTTAATTAAATGTACAGAATTACAAACACAAAATTACAATTCAACAAAGTCTCTTAATTTTACGGGACGTATTTTCTTCCGTACTGGTCTCCGTCTCGTTGGCTTCTGCTTCACGTGGGGTTCATCTGCTTCATCAGGAAATATTCTATTGTCGGTAACAGTCACATCAGTGGTAGTAACTTCATCAAGAGCTTCACCGTTTCCCTTCTCAAACTGAGTAGAGTTTTTAATCTTAATATTTCTTCAAGTATATATATATATGTATATACCCAAGTAGTGTCAGTTTAACTAATGTATGATTCAACTGTCCCTACAAAATAATTAGCTTACATTTTTTGGTTTTGTTATTTATTCTTTTTAAAGGATACAGTATAATGTAAAGATATCTCAGTGAAACGCTGTGTGATCTACTGTATATACTATATGGTGAGCTATTATATAATTATTAGCGGAAGTAACATTCCTCTTCGTAAACTGTTTAATGTCTTGCAATTATTTTTACGAAATGCAGTGTATACTGAATACAATTATAGGAAATGAAAAAAAGAAATTATTGCATTATTATAATAAAACATTACGTTAAGAGAGAAAAAAAAACAACAACAACAACACACAACCAGAAATAATCTCAAATAAATTCCTTTGAGTATTTGAATTCGTGATTATTTTTGGGAACACTAGAGGACACTTTGTAATTACTGCGTGATAGCCTAGTGTAACTGGCGATTACTTGTTTTTAAGATTAAAATCAACTATTAGTATTAAAGGGTAATATTAGTTTGAGACTTTTAAGATAAAATGGGAATCCTTGATAAAATAAGCGAGATTGAAAAAGAAATAACACGTACCCAAAAGAATAAAGGTATGTCGAATGTAAAATGAAAAGGACATTTTGTTAAACTTAATTATGTTGGTATACTATACGTTTCAAGATGCTAATAGTAATACTAATTAATACTCACTGCTAATAGCACTACTAATTTTATTACTAGTACTACTACTACTACTAATTAATAGTTATATTTGAAAGTATTATTAGACTAGTAGTAATACTACTATTAAAAGTATTATTACTAATATTAACAGTAGTTGTAGTTCTAAAATATGCTGAGCCTAGGTTTATGTGTAATTTTTCCCAATCGCACTGCAAACCTAATAAACCTGATGATGACAAAACCTTGTCGAAACGTTGTACATTTGCTGTTGTGTTAAACTTATATTAAAGTTTTTCTTCATTACCCATTCAAGCCGTCTCCAACCATTACCAATAAACCAGTTGAGAATCAGAGAGAATTTACTGTTTGAAGGTTTCGAATAATTTTGTATGACTGTTCGATACTAAAAATATGTCATCTCTGCATAATGAATTAAAAATACAGTTATATTTTACTTACATCTTACATAGAGCCCATTAACATCACAGGTCAATTCTGTGAAATGCTGATGGGTTACACCATTACAACTTTCACTGTTAGTGTTACAGAACAGGTAGGACCCATATTTCAACTGGTGTAGGATCAACCTGTTATTCAGAATTAATGTGACCAGATGTCTCAATTTCAGTGGGACAGTCACGTTTTTGAGCTGCTTGTCCCACTGTCTTCCAGAAGCTTTAGGGGATGTGAAAATGTCCTGCATTATACAAATTAATACCGGTAAGCTCTATCGTACTATGACTGCACATAAGATTTGTTCTGTCCTCATATAATATCCTTTATCTTCATGTATTAATATTCAAATTGAGTTAGGTGTCCTGCTTTGGACTCCAGAAATTCTGGTCACTTTATGCAGAATACACCCATATTTTAACTTGTTATGAAGAATTGACCTTTTAAGCTTAATCAGTTCATTATGCAGAATAAACATCTTTTACTATCAACCAGTTATGCAAAATTTGAAAGAATTAAGTAAATGTTGATATATGAAAATTGTGTGAAGTAGGACAACTCAGTTTGGGGTTATGAGTGCACATGCTCTGCAATATATGGTTGCAACTTCTACTGTTCTAGCAAGTCTTACTTTGGATAAACTAGCACCCATGTACTTCTGTCAAAGTTTAAGTATTGTTATATTTTAACAGATCAACTGACTTTCAAATTCACTTAATGATTTACATAAATTCTCATATCACATTCACTCTTATCATTCATTTAAATGCATGTTTTAGTTCTGAGAACATGTTTGAAAAAATGTTTTTTACTTTTTTCATAACATTTAGTGTTTTATAACACTTTTGAATTAACATTGTGAAAGATCAGGTAGATCAACACTGTTATTTTATGACTGTTGTTAATAAATCTTGAATATACATAGAAATGTGGGAAGTTGATCTATTAGTGGCAAATCCTGTGCCTGAGGATTGCTAGGCCTATTGTCACATTATTATTGTCACGTGTGAATAGCAGTTCTTGAGCAAGAAAAGAAATGTGTTGCTGTTTTGTAAGTGATTAATATGAGCAACAACTATTTATTATTAACCATTGAAATAGCATGACTTTGAAAACAGTGCATGAGATGTTTTATTTTCCTTGAAATAATACAAGCTATTTGTGGCTAATACGGATGGTAAGATTGTCACAGTGTGAATAAAACCTTAAAATTTTGGAGGATTCTTCAATAAAATTATATTTTTGTTCTAACAGCAACTGAGTACCATCTGGGTGTTCTGAAAGCTAAACTAGCAAAATATCGTGCTCAGTTGATTGAACCTTCGGGAAAGAAAGAAAAGGTGAGGTTATATTTATATGGTCAGTAGTTTAACATTGGTAGTACTAATACTGATTTAATACTATTAAAATCATATGCTTTATTATCACAATAAATATATTCTGATTCCAATTCATTTAGAATAATTGTTCTTATTTTAAGCTGGATTTTCTCAATGTTTTGAACTTGTTTGGTGAAATTTTGTGGACATCTTCAGTCATTTTTCTTTGTGTTGGGATGATGTTTGTGCTGAGCTTTTCTTCAAGCTCCTAGTTGTGAATCAGTACTAGTTGGTAACCCACAATCATCATAGACTACATAGAGAGTTCTAACTATGTCCTTCTTCAGTCCTGTAGTTGTGAATCAGTACTATAGGGATAATCCATGATCAACATAGACTACGTAGAGAGCTCTGACTAAGTCCATCGTCTGGTCTGTAGTTGTGAATCAATACTAGGGTGTAATCCAAGATCAACATAGACTACATAGAGAGCTCTGACTAAGTCCTTCTTCAGGCCTGCAGTTATGAATCAGTACTAGGGGATAATCCATGATCAACATGGAGAGCTCTGACTAAGTCCCTCATCAGGCCTGTAGTTGTGAATCAATACTAGGGGACAATCCATGATCAACATAGACTACATAGAGAGCTCTGACTAAGTCCTTCATCAGGTCTGTAGTTGTGAATCAATACTAGAGGAT